CCTGGGGTGCAAGGAGGGGCAGACCCTTGTCCCAGGTCTCCCTTGACTCTCAATCCAAGGTTTTGCCATCACTTCCTCATGCCCTGATCCCCACCCAGGGCAGGGCTGTTCCAGACCTAGCTGATGCCTAGCTCTTGATTCTGGAGATAGAGCAGAGTAGCTGGGAGGAGCCCAGGAAGGGTCAGGGCTGCACTTCAGGAGTCTGGGATCTTCTCCTGGCTTCCCTCTCAAGACAATGGAAAGTCACTATCCTCTGCTCCTGTTGCAATGGGAGCCACCAGCTACATGCGCTCACAGCCAGAAAGATCTGGGTTCAAATATCAGCTCCAATGCTTTATTGATTTTCAGAGATTGGCTGCCTCCTGCACGCCCCGTACAGGAGATTGAGCCTGAAACCCGGGCATGTGCTCTGACCTGACCAGGAATTGAACGAGAAACCTTTTGGTGCACGGGAGGAGGTGCACGGGAGGACACCCGACCAACTGAGCCACACAAGCCAGAGCCAGCTCCTCCCTTTCAGTCTCGGCTTTCACATCTATGAAATGGGGATACTAATCCCCATCTTGGAGGACATAAAGGATCTGATGGGACTGTATTATTCCCATTTTATGGCTGAGGAAACTAAGGCTTCGGGGAGTTTAAGAAACGTGCTCCAGATCGCACAGCTAAAAATAAAGTTGGGCAGTCAGTATTGGAACCCAAGTCTATGTGACTCCAAATTGCCTTCTGTGCCTACTCTAGCTGGGAGCCAAAGGACGGCTTATGGAAATGTGTGGAGGCAACTGATTTAGCTTCCCAAGTGAGCAGACCGCTAGACCGAGAGGAGGGTGCATCCCAATTGGACAGAGGCCTCCTAGAGTGCCTCTGGTTGTGAGGTGCAGAGTGTCTTGGGGTAGAAGAGCTAAGGACACTCTTGACCCCTAGAGGCCTTGGTCCCCAGCCTCTTGGGTGCAGCAACCTTGTCTCACCCACCCCTTCTTAGATGCCTTATCCAAAGCCCCACTGCTTTCCAGAAGCTTTTATAACTATTGACTTCCCAGCAGTGCCCTGGGAGAAGAGATGGGGCTCCTGGATGCTCTTACACCAGATTGCGTGTGGTCACAAGGACATTCATGTGACTAGTATGTGCATTTGGTGTTGCCCGCTTGGAAGCTGTGTGTGCAGGGAAGCACACGTGTGCTTGTGCATGAACTGGTTGGGGGCAGTCGTATTTGCCACATCTCGAAGATGTGTATGGCCATTTCATTCCTATGTGCTATTGAGAGTGTGTGGGCATATGGTGCATGCAAGTACCTCCTGTTTGGGACCATTTGAGGGGTGATGTGTCCCAGCCCTGTGTGCAAGATGGACTGGCTATCCATGTGCGGAGGGTACTTGTATGGCTGAGAGCCTGAAGTGGGCTCTGTGGACGCAGACGTGTTTGTTGTATGTGAAAGGTACCTGGTTTGGGCAGCCTATGGG